ATGCGCCCTACAAAACAATGCGATATAGAACGCATGAAGAGAGTCCCATACTCAAGTGCCGTTGGCAGCCTAATGTACGCCATGTTGTGTACCAGGCCAGACATATGCTTCGCAGTCGGACTTGTGAGTCGATTCCAATCCAATCCAGGAGTCAAACACTGGGAAGCTGTAAAGAGGATTATGAGATATCTAAAAGGAACCATGGACTATGAGCTATGCTATCAAGGAAATGGCCTTCGTGCGGAGGGTTATTCCGATGCTGATTGGGCAGGAGACCTGGACGAGCGACACTCGACGTCAGGCTATGCTTTCCTACTGAATAACGGAGCAATCTCCTGGAGCAGCAAGAAACAAACGTGTGTGTCTCTTTCATCCATGGAAGCAGAATATGTAGCTTGTTCTGCAGCTGTCCAAGAAGCTGTGTGGCTCAAAAGATTCTTAGTACGATTGGGAATCCATAGTGGGAGTGAGGGACCAACTCTGATTCACTGCGATAGTCAAGCAGCAATAGCCTATGCAAAGGACCCTAAGTACCACAATCGTACTAAGCATATAGACATAAAGTATCACTTTGTAAGGGATATGATCGCTAAGAAACAAGTGACAGTTCAATACTTGTCCACTCATAAGATGTTGGCAGATCCCCTAACCAAGCCTATAGCTAGAGATCCTTTCGTCAAGCATGTAAAGGCCTTGGGCATGCGTAGAGCATGATGTATTGAACCCCTTTTTTCTTTTTGATCCCTTTTGTTCAAATACGCAGGCACAAGGCATGTTGTACTGAACCTTTTTCCTCTTACTTAGTAATTCAATGCATTTTATCCAGTTCAAAGAAATTTTTCTTGTATATTTGTGTATTTATACATGCATAGGCACAAGGTATGCAATACAAATATGTCGTACAAGTCACAAGGTTGGCTCACTCACACGAGCAACTGCCTCGCTATGTTCTCATGGGATATAGAAGGTTTGACAGCAGATGATCACCATGAGATGGTAGAGAAGAATCACTGCACAAATGTCACCTCAGCTAGACTGAGATGAGACCCATAAAAGTTTGGGCCGAATCATGGATAATGTGTCATCCATGAGACCTGTAGCCAGACAAGGAACTCTTTACTAGTGAGACGTCATATATAGTTGTGATGAAAGAGCTCCTGGTTCAAATGTTGGAGTGCATTTAGAACTTAAGTCTGTATGGTGCTATTAAAACCAAAAGCGACATACTCCACTTGGTGGATTGAGCACCGTAACATGCAATTCATACTGCATGGGCTCACTCAAATCCGCAACAAGGGACGTAGATGGAAGATCCCTGATCCATTACGGTGTGAGTCCCAGAAAGGAAATAAAACTTTCATAATGCCCTTAAGACTAGACAACATCACAAGGTTTTGGTTTAGTGGCAGCTACTCTAGCCTAAACCCCATGGTCAAGAATGATGCGATCTAACGGGTCAAGACTGAGAAAGCGACTATGTCAAAACTAAATGATGAACAGTCAGAAGGAAGATTTATCCTGAAATACACATCTACGTTGGTATCTGTGACATGTCCCTTGCAGGTTGAACAGAACAACTAAGCAAGTGTGGATACCATACGTATGAGAAGGCAATCTGAGTAAACAAAATAACTCGAGAGGGATTAGATATGCCACAAGTAAAGTGTATGGATAAAACTAGGGTATTCGAGGCAACAAGCATATAATTTGCAGGTACACCAAGGGTGTTCTTGTGTGCTGGTCCTGAATAAAGGATTCCTAGTGCACAGGCGCCCGAATCGATGACGTCATGCCCACGCGGTCACGGCAGACACCTAGTATGAAGCAATGAAAGATTTAGCTATCGCACGATGGGCAGCCCATCAAGTGCGAGTGGGAGATGTTAGATTTTTGGGCTTGGATCCGCCCTTGATGGGCCGGATTATTTGACCGGGTATAGAGAGAATATATCAGTCAAATATCCAAGCGATATTGTGATATGTTTGACTTGGTCAAACACCCTCAATCATATCTAATCGGTTACGATATAAATCTAATTAATTTATATTTAATTAATTAATTTATATTGTGTAGATTAAATATATATTAAGTATATATATTTAGAATTAATTGTGATTGATTCTGGATTTAAATTCAAATATCATGATATTATGAGATAAGAATATATTATATCTTATCTCAGATTTTATCTGATGGGCTCAGTGGATATTTTTATGCTACCCAAAATATCCCTGACAAAAGCTATAAATAGAGGCTTCCCCCCATCAGTTCAAATCACTCCAGTAGTAGAGCTTTCCTACTATCTCTCTCTCTCTCTCTTATTTTCTTTCTTGCAAAAGAGGTGCTCTGCTGTGCACTTAAAAGCTCAGACTTTTATAGTCTAGCTTAAGCGTGAGCTAAGAAGATCCGACCGACCCGACCCGAGATCCGACCCGGTATGTTTTCGATCCATTCTGAAATTTATCTTACAATAAATATTGTCTTTCTTAAAATATCTTTGCTAATCAAGTATATTAGCTAGAACTAACATTTCTATAAATATAAAAGATAAAGTGGATTGGAGTCTTTTATTTAAAATCAAAATAAAAATCAAACGAGCTTTTATAATAAGAATTAGAGATAGTATTTTTTTTTAAATCTTCACACACACACACATATAAATACAAAGTGATTTTTGTTTCACAACAAATGGAATAAAACTTAACGAGGGTTGTTTTAGCATATGACCAACTTCAAGGTTTACGAGCAATAATAAATCCTACTTTCAGTCCCAAATATACGTTATCTTTTAAGGTCTTAGGATCCAAAATTTTAAATTACTATTTTCTCTGATCTTAAATATAAGATTTAGTAAACTAATTCATGAAAATTAAGAAAATTAATAAAGTTGGTTATTTGTTATTAATAGAAAAGGTCTATTTGTCACCTTCTATAAAATACCTTATAAGAAATAAGAGCGAGCAATAAATACAAAGAAAGTGAGATAATTATAAAATTGATATGGGTGATTTGAAAAAAGAAAAAAGTAAATAAAGAAGATAAAGAAGGTTGAAATCATATATTTAAAATCAAGACAAATTTTTTAAACTGGACCTTGTATTTAAGATTGAAAGAAGTACCTTTATATCATTAAATTGTTTTTTTTTTTTTTACAAATATTCCCACTAACCATTGAATGTTTTGAAAATCAACGAGTAAAAAGAGTATTTATCAATTGGCAAAACTTGAAAGGAAAAAAATTAATTTTTATATATGGGATCAAAGCTAGCACTGTACTTATACCGTTTATATATGTGTGTGTATGTTAATGGATAAAATAGTATGAAACATCCGGATGTTATTTTTCAATTGTATCTAGTATCCTAATTTTATTTATGATGCATTTAAGACTCTGACGTTATTTTTTTGCTGCTTCGAACACATATTAAACCATAAATAATATTATGGTATTGGATGTATCTGGACAATAATATTAGGGTGCGCTAGATGTATTAAAAAATAGCATTAAGTTGCTAGATGAATCATAAATAAAATGAGAGTATTGAATGTTATTGAAAAACGGCATCACAACATTGGATGTTATTTAATACTTTAACCTGTGTCAATTAGAATAGCAATGCAGCAGATGTAGTGATGAGAATGTTAGATTAGTAGACCCCATTTACCAGGTTTTGTTTGGATGTCAAAGTTTGCCTTCCACAATTTAGAAACATAGATTTCTGCTGATAAGTGGAGAATCTAATAAAGATTTTTTAGAAAAAAAAAGTATTGACATTTATTTTGACCTCTTAAGGTTTGTTTAAATTAACGATAGTAAAAGTAACTTTTATTTCGTGCCTTTTGCGAATTAAAATTGAGATGCGAGGAGTTAATCAGCTGCTCAGCCCAGCCTTCCATGTTCGATTGACTTCTGCTGAGTTCAACGTGTTGCGTGCCTATTTTTTGGGTTTTGTTTTGGTGGTTTTTTCAGTTTGGTTGGTTGGGTTTGTTTGAATTAGAGAATCCAAAAAAAAAAAAATTTGAATTTTAAAATTTTAAATCAATTTTATTTATTAGATTTTAATAATAATTGATAACATATGAAAAATAAATAACAACACATTTTTGTAGTTATTCTTGATTTGAAATTTTAAAATTTTAGAAGTTTTTTTCTTTTTTGGGATTTTGCCTTTGGATTATCTTCTTGTTGCTTTCTGGTTTTCTTTATTTCAGCTGTTGGGCCGGACTTCATATTCTGTTTGGGCTCAGCTCAAAATATCATTCATGTGGTTGCTATTAAGATTTTTCTTTTTTTTTTTTTTTAATGAAGTTGTCTTTTTAACCAAAAAGCAAAAAGTTTGAATCTCTGCTCGGAGAAGTTTTCATATTTAGTGTCTGATAGTGTTTCAGATAACATTACCTCTAATAGGACGATACCTGCGCTTTAGTTATATAAAAAAAAAAAGGTGAAAGTTATACATGGATAGATTTTTGTTTTTTTTAAGAGTCAATTGGGTCGTTTATAATAATTTTAGCTGAACATTTAGAGTAATTTCAGCTTTTATCTATAAGCTGCTGCAAGTGTGCTATCCCTTCTCTCTCCAGAGGAATTTGCATAAACCAATCCATCTCAATCCAATGTGGCTCAAATTACCAATTGTTTTAAAGATACTTTTCCCCCAAAAGTCAATTAGGACAAAAACTAATCCAAACATATGCTTTTTTTTTAATCAAACAATTTTATTCAAACTAAGTAAAAAGATTACATATAAAAAGCCGACTAATCACATATGGTTAATTTGAGCAAAGCCCAAATAAACATATGTTTTCTAAGCAATGCAGATTTTGCTATTGTCAATGCATGTTTTTCATCTAAAATGCCAATCCAAAAGCAGCCTTAATCTTTTTCTTCCTTTAATTTCACGAAGATGACTTTCCTTGACTTTGTGCTTCTGATTCAATCCTCCCAACTTGAACGAAAAAAGTTAAAAAAGAAAAAACAAGCTAGTAATACAGGCAGAGACTTGGGGATCATCAAGAGTAAGACATATTATTTAAAGAAAACGACAACATTTTTCATTTCACGACATTCTTATTTTATTTAGTCTTGAGTCATGACAACACATTATCACCACCTTGCAAACCACAGAAGCAGTGAAAGGGAAAAAAAAAAACAGAAAAATGTTTTTTGGACGATAGTTAGTCTCCGGCTTCTTTCTCAATTCACAACCTTGCAATCACGTCTCACTTCTCCATCCTGAGACACACCCACATTGCCAAGCTTCAACATGGAAGCAACAAACTGGTTGAAGAACAAGGTTTGATCTTTAGCAAAAGCTTCAACAATCCTTCTGGTTCTGTAATCTCCAACAATGGCTTGATCTGATATGAACAGTCCTCGCCCAGCAAGCAATCTCTTGTAATAGTCATTATCAAACACTGAAGCTGTTGAGTCCATGAAGTGTCCGGCATTATGGCCCCTGAAGGCTTTTTCTGGGCATTTCTTCTTGAGATCTTGTGCAAACTCAGAGTCCAAACTTGGATCAACGTCATGTAACAGACTGAAATTTCTGAGACGAGCTTCAAATGAAGAACAATGGGAGAATCCCAAAGTGTGACCACCAGATAGAGTGACTAAATCTTTGATGTCTAACCCTCTTGAGGCGAAGCTTTGAATAAGTTGGCTCATATTTGAAGTTGGAGCTGGTAAGTTTCTTGTGTCTGATGCTTTTGAGACTCTTCCATCTTTTCTTCCTTTTAGAACATCCCATGATGGACCCCCAGACTGAAACAGATATATCAGTAAAGTTACTTTTGTGTCTTTTGTGTGCGCACTAATTTGTACGAAAAATTAATCTTCTTATTCTTATACTTTTTGACTCTTACATAACTCTATCTAAATTTTATTTGGTTAATGTAATTTAGTCTCTATAATTTTACTTTAATTTCTGTAATTCAATCTTTAAACTTTGACTCGGTGTAACTCATTCTCCAATAATTTTAACTCAATTGAAACTTGATCTCTGAACTCTAATTTACTACAACTCGGTTGTTATAGTTAAATCAATTAAAATATCATTCCTTATGTTTTAGAAAATTAAATTATATATTTCGTGAAACTTAATAATCAAAGTTTTAAATGGCTAAAACTATAAGAACCAAGTTACAATGAGTTAAAGTTTAATCATTGAGTTTCAACTCAGTTGAAACTATAGGGATTGAGTTGCACTAAGTCAAAGTTTTAGGACTAAGTTATAATCGAATTAAAACTATAGGGACCAAAAAATTCAATTTTTCCTCGGACAAACAGAATATATAAGAGAAGTTGAAGTGTGTTAGTTACCAGGGCTACCACATCTCTAGCAGCAATGGCAAGAATATCAGCACATGAAACTATGTGTGGGCATTCCTTTTCAAGCTTGGCTTTAGCTTGGTCGATCACATAGAATGATCGAACAGAGATGTTTGGAGGGCCATCTTTCTCTGCTTTGTTTGTGGGAGTTGAGTCTAATAACACTGATGCATCACAACCCTGCACAAAAGAATAAACATTAACAAATTAGCCACCAAAAAAAAAAAAGATGTGTACACACACACAAACAAAAGAAAGATCATACGTACCCTAATGAAACAGTCATGGAAGAACATCCTCAGAATACGAGCTGGGACTTTAGGGTCATGCTTAGAGGCATTAACAACAGTGTCCTTGATGATTTTTTCCAACTGGGGACATGAATGGTCATAATAATGGGCATCAAGCTCTGCTTTTGATAACAAAGCCAATGCTAAGAAAGCCAAAATGGTTGTACAGAACAAGTGTTTCAGAGGCAGACTATGAGCCATTTTTGGTCTGAACTGATACGACTCAGAAGAAGAAGAAGAACACGAGAACTGAGAAATGATGAGGTTGTGATTGTGAGGAATCCGTGGAAGCATGAAGCTGTATAAATAGAACTGAATCTACTAACAAAGTGCATGTTTAACAAAGAATCATCATAATCCTTTAAAGTCACTCAATGTTATAAGTTATGGCAAAGTCTAGAAACACAACAAAACTTTGACTCAAGCATTTGTTGTGCGCTTTAAGACCAAGTAGTCTATCCCCACCTACCTGTATCTGAAAGTGACCATCAAGGTTTTCTTTTTCTTTTTTTTTTTTCAAAAAAAAAAATATTTGTTATTTGGCATATTAAGGGGATTTTAAGGTTTGTTTTTGTAGTACATATGGTTCTGTTCGCTTATACTTATCAATTTAGTTGAGTTTGTAGAGTTGGTGATGAAAGATTGAGTAGAAGTTATATGAACCAAAAATGTGAATGTGCCTTATTTTACAGGTATATATGTTGTTCTTATTAGTGGGAGGCTGCGTAATTAGAAAGTAATTAAAAAGAGAAACCCTGGAATAGACCACTCTGTAATTACTAACTTGCATACTCAGTAATTTGAATCTGATGAACAAAATTAACAAAATGTATAAAATCCTCCTCCTTGAGAAGACCAAATCAAAGAAATACATGGGGAAGACCGCTTTGAAAGCCGATCTAAAAGTCCATGATGAATGTTTAGGCTCAATATCTCTTGAGCCCATTATCTAAAAGGATCCTGAGTGAAGATTTCTATTCCTAAACAAAAAAGATTACTCATTTTCACGCTCTTTCTTTTTTCTAAATTTAAGATTTTTTTTAATGAAATATAGTGAAACATTTATTGTGTTCTTCCAAAAATTCCATTCTTCATTATTGAGTTGGAAAATCACTTTGAAAATTATTTTAATAAACAAACCTTTGATGATCGAATTGTAACGATATTTATTGCATAGAGAAAATTATTGTGACATTTGAGAAAATGGAGGGATAATTTTAGAATGTCAAACTAAATTTCGACATGATAAAATCACCTATTTATTATTTTAAATTTTAACAGGCATTTTTTTGGGCCATTTTCCTTTTTCTTGATTTGCATAATTTTAGTTAAAAACATCTTGTGAAAGGACCCTAGGCACGGGCCCATGCGTCCATTATTTGCTTAGCTAGTAAAATGATACATGACCCCAAGAAATGTCCAGGATCAAGAGACTCTCGCAGTTTTTTTTTTCTTCCTTTTTTATTTATTTTAAGACCTGGAAGGCTCTTTACAGTTTTTACAGTTTTTATTCCGCAGGGAAACCATTTTATTTTAAATAAAATCAGCATCAGTATAAGGTACACTTATTTCCAAAAATGGTATGCACTGCACAAAACTCAATCTTTATAAATCAAACTGCAAAACATATTTACCTGTTTCACGAATCTTGACTTGCTTCACATTTTAACGTCAAATTACTTACAAATACATACTTGAATAGGTCAAAAACTATTATTATAATAATTCTTAATAAAAACACCACTTGCCCTCCAAAAGAAATAATTTTTACAGTTATCACATCACAGCTTGACTAAACCTTTCAAATTCTAAGAATAAACTAAGCCACACTTAATAATACGGCATTTAATAATTTTTATAAATATATTCATATTCTATCAGATATAATAAACAACTTTAACCGCATCCAGAAGCTTACCACGAAGGCTTAGTCTATCAAACAATATCAGCTCTACCAGGGGAAAAAAATATCAAACTGGTAATTTTGACTTTTAATCACTAATTTTTTGGGTACCCCCGGAATTTGGACGAGGCAAAGTTTAAGAATGCCCCATACAATTTTATTCTGTGAGGCAAAAAAGGAGACCTCTAAATTCGGAGATGTCAGTGACCATTAGGAGCAAATTGTGAGTTTGCGTCATCATATTTCTTGGCATAGAATCGACGATACATGGAATCAACTTCAGTGAGATAATATGTGCCAGGAGGTAAGTAGCTAGAGTCCTTGCTTGTCACAAAATCTTTGGCCCCATAACGATGCTCCATTAGCTTCAAAGTTTCGACGAACTTTTCCGGAGGAAACTGCATTTAAAAATTGATAAATTTTCGTTTCAAGTCACATTAATTGCGCTAACGACCAACAATTTATGGTTGAAACACCTACTTGTTACTCCTATTTACTATAAATGTAGTATTACCACTAAGTACTCTAATAATTTAGGTAGGAGAAAAACTATAAACGCTTTTAACATTTCAGCCATCCAGTCATTGAGTAATCACTAATACCATAAGTCTGGTCCATCCTGGATTCCGAATCTCTAGTACGTTTTACCCATGCTGCATACACTAATACACCTCTACATCCAGTCTAAATGTTATATTTACAAGTCCTAAAAACTTATCTGATCTTAGCAATTAAAATTGTTAAAATGTTCAAATCTTTTTTTTTTTGGGAATAAATTATGAATTTTTCTAGGACAGTATTCGTATTGAAAGTTCTCATGGAAAACTTACAGCTACTTGCCAAACAAAAGCTACTGCATTTTATAAAGTGAAAAACAGATCTGAGCTGTTGAAGCACTCAAATAATCTTAACCGTCCATTTGATTATCAAAACTCTACTTCCAAAAATTCTATTAAATTATCACACTTAAATGGGTTGTTATAGGTGTAACACAGGAAAATGCATTAAAAATTCAAGTTCTGGCTTACGCCTAGTTTCAAATTTCGACGCCAATTTGCCAGGGGATGGACAAACATTACTATTAGAGTTATATGATTAGAGGAGCCATACCTCAAGCCTCTGATTCAACTTGCCAGAAACATTCATCACCGTCACAATGTTTGACAAACTAAACGGATGTTGACCCTCTTGAATATGGAAGGAGAACAGCGTAGCTGTTAGACCACTTCCATATGAGAACATAACCATCCGCTTACCTACCTGCAAATAAAGAGAACAATCCTAATGAGCAATGTTAAATCAATCCTGCCACATAAAAGATGCGGCACCCAGAAAGTTATGCACTGGAAAGAAATATAAAGCGTTACCAGTGAGCTACGTTTATTGTGAAGGAGAGATGCAAGTGCTGCATAGAGAGATGCAGTGTACATGTTACCGACTTGTTTTGGGATTAATGTGGTGGGTTGCACCTTCTCGTTGTATAAATGCTTTGCGGCTTGCTGGTTTGCCTACAAATTCACAATGACCATAAATAATCTACGATCTTGGTAATGGCAATCATGTTAGTCAAAGAACTTGATTTGGATTCAACCAGAGTAGCTACCTTTTCCAGATCACGGCTCTGATAGCTCTCATCACCAGATAGAGCCGTGAATGGTCCTAGGATTTTTCTAGCAACTTCATCCACAGATCTGGTACACATAGCTTACTCAGATTCAGGGAAATGGAGGGAAAAAACATATATTGAGTTGTAAACGTTAGTTAAAAACATCCCAAGTTTTTAATTCTTCTCTTCTAGGAAATGTCTGTAACTTAGGGTGGAAATTAAAAACAAGTATATGCAAATCTCAGTGCATGCAGTCTACTGACCTATCACTGCAAAAAGGTTCCAAAAATTAATGCAGCAATTACCCATTCCAAAGAACTGATCATTGATATAAACTAGCATCTTGTATTAGAAATTCATACATTTATAAGATAGAGCTGAAGCAAAAGATAAACACCTGGGATCTCTCAGGAAGTCGTTAAAGTACAGCCGACCAAAACTTTTTTGTACAAGCTGCAATACATTGAGTGGAGAATGAATAAACAACTATTTGCTCAAAGTGCATGCGCTTGTCTACAGTAAAACATTCAAGCAGTCTGAGATGGAAAACGGCTGCCCTTCCATTACCTTGTTATATGGAGAATGAAACACAAAATAATCAGCATCTGAGATGGAAAACGGCCGCCCTTCCAATTTTTCAAATCTGTACACAGAATACTAAGTATACAAAAACAAACAAAAGGAAAAACAGTACTAATAACCATTCTACATAAGATACAAGGAAAGGCTTTCTCATTTCAGAATATCCTTACTTCTCACAAAAATGCTTGTAGCAGGAATCAAGTGCCATAAGATAGCAGGTCTGGGAGAGCTTTCCATCAACAACCTATGAAGAATGCAACAACTTTTTTAAAAGGAAAGAAATAAAAAGAAAAAATATCATTAAAGTAACATCTAGTTGTGTGCAGAAAAAAGTATGCAAGCAAGAATTTTTGCAAGTCGCAAAGGACTGTTTAAAATCAATCACCCTAATAAGTGCACCAAAATGTCTAAAAGACCAGTAATGGATAACTACTACTATGTTTAGGGTAATAAAACACCCAGAGTTTGAATATGACATGCAAGGGGAGGGGCAGAGGAAAATGAACCATATTATTATTAGAAAATGACTTGTAAGAAATAAAAAAGGTGGGATTGACTCAAGTCTTAGAAAAATCTTTCCCAAGAAATAATCACTTAACTATTTTTTCCTCTCCTTTATTTTTTTGGGTCACTACTTGCACAATTCAAACCAATGAAACATGACACTGGAAATTAGACTGGACGGCATCATCACCACAGTGGAGTTCTTCAGTTTATAAAACTAAGAATGCTTTAGTCATATGCTAAAAGATGCTCGGTAAAAACCTAAAAGGAATCTTTCAATTTTTATTTTTTGATCTGAAAAAGAAACGGAGAATAAGTGATAAAGCATTACTGGGTATTCGCTTGCAAGGTTTGGCTTGTAAAAATCATAGGCATGTGACATATAGCTGCCTCTGAATTTGCTTTCAAAAGCAATTGGTGCATCCGGCCCTATAAGCATGGCGATTGCAGCTGCTCCTCCAGTAGGACGGGCAGGTCCTTCAGCGTATACCTGAAACAAGAAAGGTCAAAGTGAGCATATTGGTGTGTGTTTTAAAGATGTACACTTCATCTGATACAGCATGTGTTGCAACGACACTCAGAAAGTTTGGATGTATGCCTCGCACCAACATTGGATTATAGAAAGTTCAACTTTATTATGCAGCCTCAGATTATTTAGCTCAGAGAGGCTACCGCAATTAGCAGGTTTTACTTTCTTTCTTTTGAAAAAAAGAAAGTGTGTGCGTGTGTATCTGTACGTGTGTATTACAGCCAGAAAAAAGAATTTCAATTTGGGAACACTATCTCAGCAATATTTTTATAAAACAGAAATAGCTTAAAATTTTCCCTTTACAGCTTGATAAATTGGACAAGTACTCTCTGATCTGGCACCTTAAATTCTGTAGTCCCATAAGCAATACGGCCTTGCATAAGATAGAAAATTAACCATTGTATTGGCACTTCAAATACAATTGTTATTTCATAAGGTAAGAATTATTAGCAGTTGAAGTTTTTGTTGCAACCAAAAAAAAAAAGTTTTTGCATATGCTTTTTCGGAAAGTAAACATGCTACAAGAATAAAGCAATAAATGTGATTCCGTTTTCAACTTATTTAGTTTATTGCCCAAAACATTTTAGTTCGTGGTTTCTGGTGATGACAAATTTACCTATTTGAGGCTATTCTCATTGACGTTTTCTCTGCAGATAGATAGTTTTATGGTTCTACTTAAACTGCGGAGTATTCTAACCTCCCCAGAAATCCAGAATAATGAGGCTAGCATCTTCTGTGTACACAAGATATGCAATTATGCATGATATGCAGATAAAATAGTAAATTTGTATCTTATTCTAACAAGCTTCCTTACGTGTATATGCTTGGCTATTGATTTTGAAATTTTATCATGATTTATTTTAAACTTGATTTTTGTATTCATATGGGACATGATTTTTGGCAGAGATTGGAAATGGAAAATGCTGTCCCAACTGTGAGCAGTGACAAGGATGAGAACACACGGAAGTGGCAGAGAGAAGGATTATGGTATACATTCAAACACTCTCCCGATTACCATTGATATGCTGTTTATGGTGATATCTATTTAAAAATGATAGGGTTGATTAGAGGCTCTGACACAAATATAAAATTACTTCCATAAATTTGTCACAAAAGGCAAAAAAAAAAAAATAATAATAATCAATTTTTCCTTTTCCATTTAATTGTAATTTACTGCAACTTTAGGTAAAGAAAGGAGAATGGAATAAAGGTCAGAAATGCTGGGAGCTCATACCGCACTATCTGTACAAACAACAAGTCCATAGCGCCCATCCCATGAACTACTCTCCACCCAATTCACACAGTTGAACAAAGCTGCCGTTCCTCCATAGCATGCATTTGTTGAATCAACACCTTCAATGTCTGTATTACCGCTCTCCTGGTTGTTACATGAGTCAATATACACATATGAACACAGACAAGATATTTCTTTCTCTTATTTTGTCCTTGGGATTCATCAATAAGTTCAGTTAACAAGGAAATTTCAGAGCAAAATCAAAATTCTATGCCAGAAAGTATCTCTTTCATGATTTTGACAAGATTTTAACACAAGAAAGAGAAATGAGAGCTCTGTGCAAACTCGCTTTTAAAGTGGATTTTCTTTCCCCTTTTTTTTTTTGGTCATTTGCTTTTCAAATGGATTTATCCAAGTCATTTTAAAACTTTGGCTAGATTTAAACATGACGAGAGTGAGTAAATTTAGTCATATACAATCTTTTAACTTGGAGAAGCACAAGTATTTAAAAGAAATCAATTTGCAAAAAGAAATGGCACCAGCAAGAGGGCTTAATATTTGCACAAATCAAGAATCTTTCATATTTGCCAAATATTACAACATCCTTTATCTTTATATCCATGATTATATGTTTTTCGTGATAAAGTCAAAGATCACAGGAAACAATGTAAATGCTAAATGAAATCTCAATTATCAAACAGCAACAACCATTATAATTTAGTTTCGCTACATGCTTGAACTTGAAATGCCAATCTTAATGAAGCCTACATATTGTGATTTTATGGAAGTACGTCAATCCCATGGAATGTAGTCTCTGGTGTAAGAACCAACACAAGAAAAGGATACCTCAAAAATTTGCATCAAAAAGGTCTTAATGGATTTGCTTTTGTCAATTACTGTCTCACTACCAACTTCCAAGCGTCCAATTTGCTTTGGATCAATTTTGAATTTTTCAAGAAGTGAAGTAACAACCGTCAAGCTGGTATTGACAGTAAAAGAACGAATCAGAATAAATGCAAGAAAGCTGTTGCAGATCTGAAGATTTGTTCTACAAATCTATAATAAAGATAGGCACTGTATATCATGTAAATATGCACCCAAAAGCAGTATCTATTCAATACATCCTACATATAACATAAAATCTATATTAAAATATATTATTCATAGGCCATGATGTATATCTATGCTTTGAATGAGTACAATCTCCCTGCACAATCTAGTTATCATAGCAGATAATCAGCAACAAGAACATGAAAATTATCACTGGTTGCGGAAAGCTACATAGTTCTCTGCACGAACTCTACAGTTGATGCTAAAAAAAATTAATAAATTAGAATATAAAAATAAATACGAACTCCGTCGGTTCGATAGCGAATCGTTTTTTATTTATTCTCGAAATAAATAAGCAATCCTTAAATCGGTATTTCATAACTTGCTTCTTCCTTAACATGAATATACTGTTAATTCCTAACAGAATTTTTAACAAAATAGAGTAAACGCGTTGGCTGCAGAAGTAAGCAGTGATTAGCAAGAAGAAGAAGCCGACTCTAACACAGAACACTCAGACTTGACTATTGTATTCTGAACCAATCGTATCTGACCTCATTGAGATAACATCTTCCACCTCTGTGCAGAAGGCCATGCAATCTTGCCCAAGTCCAATAGTATACTTGCCTTTGCTCACGCCATCGTGAGCCTCCAAAGCTTCCTGTAGATGCAAATAACAGCCAAAAACAAAATCCATTCTAAGCACAACTTCACAAGAAAATCCAGTATCGAGCAAGAAATTGAGCTGAAATGCTACATAGATCCATCAATTTCAAGGCACAGTGAATAAATCGAGAAAACAGAGAGCACAGAAGTGTGGACCTGCTGAACGCAAGTAGGAGGAAAATAGATGTCCATGGCAAGGATTCCGACGTTCTTGGGACGCGAAGCCATGACTGTGATGTTGACGGTTTCGGTTGTTGAGAAAGCAGAAGAAGGAAATGCGATAGTGCGACTGCAAAGAGAGAGCGTGGCGAGGAAGAAGGGCCTTGTAGGAAGGCGAATGAAAAGAACGTGAAGCCGTGGAGGTAAATCAAAATCAATCAAAAGAACGAAATATATCAAAAAAAAAAATATATATATATATATATATATATAGAGAGAGAGAGAGAGAGGTTTATAATTTTTCCCCCTTAAAATATGGATTCTTTTTTTTAATTTTGATTACTTGTAAACAGTATTAAAGTAGTGACGATAACTTACCAAACAACACCTATTTAAATCTTGTATGAATAACAGGGGTTTGAAAAAAAAAAATCTCAAAACACAACTATTTAACCGCTTCTTTACTTACTCTTTATTTAAAAAGTTGTTTATTATACTAGGTTTTGAAAATTCATCCCCATTTGTACGATCATGCATTTTGTGTTCTTTTTTTCCCCCTATTACCTACACAAAATCCTGGTAAGTATCATTTGATAATTTCACATAAGATTATTTACGACACTTCAACAGAGTTTAATATTGTTATACCTTCATAAACTAATCCTTAAAGATAGAATAAATTTCATAAACTAAAATCATGTCTTTTTTGAAATTTAAAAAATTAAAATTAAAATATGTTTAAATCTTAGGAACCGAAACCCCACATTAACCGTATATGTGTGCGCGTGTGCACGTCTATTACGCGCGCAAACACACACATGAAATAGGCCATAAAGGTCGTCGCTGGATCTGGAGGGTGGACTGTAAGGTAGGTTAGGGATGAAGTATTTGCGAGAGTTGCCACTGTGGTAGATTTTTGATCTTCCACGTTCCACCTAACCCATTTAATTCTATATGAATGAAATTCAAGACCCCAAATTTGACCAAAATATTAGAGAAAAATGATAGCTAAACTCAAACTCAAATAATCATCTAAATAAGCAAAATTTTAGTTTAGGTATAGGTAATCAGATTGAAATTTACAAATTTACTAAAATGACCATATTACCCTTTTTTTTAAAAAAAAAAAACCCCACCAAGCCTATCACCAATCGAAAAGTGGTTAAAGTTCCAGTATCGGCAACAACCACCGATCGTCAAAGCTCTAGTAGTCGACAACTATTTTTTGAAAAATTTGTCAAGTCCAGTAATATAATTAATAAGCTTTTTAACGTTATTAACAAGTTTAATATGACAGTTAACAATAATTTTTTCAGAAAATTCAAAAAATGATATTTTTACAATTTCAGTAAACTGGTTAACAAATTTTGTAATGCTATTACCAAACTTGGTATAACATTTAACAAGTTTTCTGAAAAATTCAAAAAGTGATATTTTTATAACTTTAATAATTTGGTTAACAAGTCATATAACGATGTTAACAACTATTAATTAATTCAATAAATAATTTAAAATATATTTTTAACTAAAAATACATTTATTTATGAAAAAAAAAGAATGAGTGAAAAAAAAAAGATAAGAGAGACTGTCTTGTTAATTAATACAGTGATATAGTTTATGATCGAAATTTTTTATTAAAATTTTATAGTTTTTTATTGTATTTTATTTTTATAAATAAGATAACACCAACCCACAAACTTTGTTTTTTAAATATCCGAGGAGCATGTTAGCATTGTGAAGCAGATGGAATATATTCTTGGGAATAGCCTAGGTAAAATGACATTAATCGCACTTAGAATTTCGCAGAATATCTTATACGCCCTTTGTCTCGAACTAGAATTTATCCTCCATGTAACGGAGAATATATAAAAAAGTTAATAGAAATCATATTAACTAAATATTAAATTGATAATAAGCATGAATAACTTTTTTTTCCCCAAAATTCCCCAAGGAGTACATAACTACAGCAATCAAAATATAAATAAAGCATTAATCTCACTATTTTTTTTTGCCAGCATTAATCTCACTACTTAACATGTTAATGAAGTGTTTTTATGAAATATACTCCTCTAATCTTATTTATAAAGCAATGAGAGAAGACATTTGTTGATCCTATTTATAGAATACCAAGAGAAATTTTTTATATGGATGTAGAATTTTACCATTTATTTATTATTGTGTTGATTTTATTTACATAAGATATAATATATACTAAATATGGATAAAGTTGAAAAGTTATTGAATTTTAAATGAGAATTAATAAAGTTTAAGTTTTTTTTAATAATTTATACGAAACATGTTATAAGTAACTTATAAATAGGACTAGAGGAGTATATCTTAAACTTTATATTTTACTGTATTAATTATTAAATTGAACTATTAAAGAATGAAGAATGATTTTTTGTGGAAAATATTTTCATACTTTGTGGTTAACAAGTTAACCTGTAATTAACTAGCCAACAGGCTCATTTCAAAAACTTGATTTTATTTTATTTTTTCTGCAGTCAATATATTAACAAACTTACATAACTAATTAACAGGCATATTTTTAAAAATTTGTTTTCACTTCCTTCTATAATTAACATCTCAATCAACCTGCTTAACTGGGTAAACATTTTCTATAATCATCTTTCGCATCTCTGCGTTTTAGATAGGCCTGTTGTTAACAAAGAGCATATGCAAAGCTTTGGGTATGCACAGGTCTTCGATCTAACGTGCTTCAAATCGAATCACACCCTACTTTTGCTCAAGCCTTTTAGAATGGCGACTAATTCCTTTGGGGATCGATATTTCCATGCCGCTGTTAATGGTCAATGCAAACGGGAACTGGTCCTATGAGGCCGACAAAATCATGAAGGAAGGAACTGAGCATTTTGAAAACTTATACAAAGATGAAGAGTATGATGGTCTAGGCGTAAGATTTGAAAAGTCATACCCGAAAGCGAACGACGCAAACTTGAAGTCTTTGAAGGAGAATGTGATTGACCATGAGATCAAGGCTGCGCTATTTGCTATGTGCCCCTTGAAAGCCACCTAAGCGGGATGGCTTGAATCCCCTCTTTTACCAGAACCAATGGCAGACGGTAGGCATATCAATCACACGAAAGGTTAAAAGAGATTAAGAGGTAGAACAGATTAGAAGTATAAAGGGAAAATTAATTTGGAGGTCTTTGTAGTTTGGTTTGATTTTGAATTAGGTTGTTATGTTTTTTTTCTTTATTGGATTTTTGAGATTGGATTCGCCCTTGATGGGCCGGACTATTTCACTAGATATTAAGAGAAATATCGGTCAAATATCCAAGCAGGATTATGATATGTTTGACTCGGTCAAACATCCTAAATCAAATCCAATAAGTTACAATATAAATTTAATTAATTTATATTATATATAAATTTAATTAATTTATATTTTATAGATTAAATATATATTAAGTATATATATTTAGAATTAATTGTAATTGATTCTAGATTTGAATTCAAATATCATGATATTATGAGATAAGGATATATTCATATATCCTAACTCAGATTTAACCTAATGGCTCAGTGGATATTTTAGCTTTCAAAATACCCCTGACAAAAACTATAAATAGAGGCTTCTGCCCATCAATCCAACTCACTTCAGTAGTTGAGCTTTCCTACTATCTCTCTTATTCTTTCTAGCAAAGAAATGCTCTGCTATGTATTCAAAACTTAGACTTTTGTAGTCTAGCTTATAGTGTGAGTTCAGAAGATCTGACCTGAACCCATCCGAGATATGACCCGGTACGTTTCTAATCCATTCTCTATTTATTCCGATATTCTTTTTATTGAGTCCCTTAGTTTTATACCGTTATTTAGGGGGGGGGGGAGACTAATGCTGTTTAACATTTTTGTTAGCAAGAGCTCGTCAGCGCCTACTTCCAATGGAAGCCAGAATCGCAAAATAAGCCCTCTTTTAGTCTCCTTCTATTATAACCCAAAATCTCATTTAAGTCCTCTCCTTCATTGTTCCTCAACATCTTCTCCTTCCCTATCATTAAATGGCTCACAGGTCGCTCCTCCTTCCGCAACTTGAATGTCATCCCTGTGGTGGATTCTTCTGGCTAATAACTCTGTTTTCCTAATACTTGAACAGGGGAATACACATACTATAAATACACACAAAATAACAGCATGATGAAAGATGCCTCTCATTAATAATTTTGATGACTGGATCTCATTAAACATAAAAAATGATTGACACTCATATTTTTCTATATATACTATTTAATTGTTAAACTTATATGAAACATCAAAATGGCTGATAATCATGTTTAATTCTCTTTTCAAGATTAGCTCAACTGTGATCTAGTTTGGTATTTTTATAGAAAAGGAATTCTCTTTTTTTTTTTTTTAAATTTGTTTGTACATATGTGTGCGTGTAATTATTTGTTTATTATATTATTCATCGTAGAAGCAAAGGCAAATAGCGATGAGCAGATAGAGGGAAGCAGGCTTAAGTATAATCTTGAGTGTGAATATGCAATGCAAGCATTTGGAATTGGAGATGAACTATCAAAGTTGAGAACAGAGACGCGCAGTGAGGTGAGGCCTTCATCCTTATTTTAGTATTAGGAAAACAGAGTTAGTAGCCCATTCAAGTTGGGGAAGGAGCAGTGACCTATGAGCTATTTAATGATAGGGAAGGCAAAGATGTTGAGGAACAGTGAACAAGAGGAGGGATTGTTCTGAGATTTTGGGTTATAATGGAAGGAGACTAAACTATGGCTTATTCTGAGATTTTGGGTTGCGGCAGAAGGAGACTGAACGAGCTCTTGCTAACATAAATGTTGAACAGCGTTAGCTTTTTTCTAACAGTCTTAACCTTAAAGGATTAACGGGTTTAACGATACAAAATTGAAGGACTCAATAAAAAAGACAAAAAAGTATGAGGACCTGATTCAAAATCAAAGCAAATTATAAGGACTTTGAAATTAGTTTTTCCTCACATGTCTATAGTTGTTATTCCAAAGAGAGATGCTCCAGGGACATTCAAGAATTTTGCGTGATTAGCCTTTGCAATCCCATAAACAAAATGGTTGCCAAAACACTGATAAATAGACTAAAGTAGACCATACCTAAGAAAATTGTCGCTAACTAAAGTAGCTTTGTGCTTGGCCGGTAGGGAACAGACAATATCATTCTTGCATAAGAAATCATACACTTTATGTGGCAGAGGATATGTTGTTACAGTTTTATGGCTATCAAGATTGACTTAAGCTCTGTTTGGGTGCTCCAAAACTGTGGTTTCAGAAGCACTTTTCCGCAAAACGAGATAACCTCCTCCACATATTTACTTCGTAATCCGTAAAAGCACTTCTGAAACCATGGTTTGGTTTTTATCCAAACACTCCCTTAGAGAAGGAGTATGATATTAGCATCTCCAAACCTCTCATTGTTCCAAGTAAATCTAGAGTCCTTAAACTTCAAATCAGTTAAGCCACATTCATCCAATAATAGCAATTGAAAATTCAAAACTCTTCTCGTTGGAACAGGTTTCCCTCCTTGCTTTCCTACTTAAGAGCCAAATTAAAATGATATTGGTATCGGAAAAAAAAAGTATATTTAAGCATATTTTTTTAATAAAAATGCTATTCAAACTTGAGGTAGCATTGTTTTTTTTTTTTAAAAAATCTTTAATGCACCGGTTCAGATGTCTTCCCATTGCCTTCCTAACTTTTATCAGATGATAGACACAATTACTAGCAACCTAACCAGATAATGAATCATTTATAAGTGCCACCAAGTTTACTTTATTACATTCTAGCATATCCTTCATATTATGCTTTGCCTTTAAGTCCCCAAGCTGGCACCGGTCCCATCAAGTCTTCATGATCATTCTGACTAAAGTATATTTTAGTCCTCTAACTTATCATAAGGTTTTATTTTAATGCAAACTTTTAGTTCTCTAACCCTAAAACTGTTAAAAAAAATAATGATATTGAACTCTTAAATAGTGATAAAACATTGCTAAATACTAACATATTAAGTTTAATATTAAAAATAACTATGATCGTTACAACACATCATTATTTAAGACTAACAATTTTGAAACTGAAGGACTAAAAATATATTTTTTAAAATTAAGAGATCAAAGTAAAATCTTACATAAAGTTAAAGGACTAAATGTACACTTTAACTTTATTTTTTTATCATATGAAATTTCAAAAATCATTCGTCATTCGTGCAGGTCTGTGTACGACTTATAGATTACAAATATGATAAAATCTAAGTATAATAAAAGAAAATACTGAGAAGGTCAAAAATTAAAAAAAAAAATAGTGAAAAGTTTGAGCAAAACCAACAATTTGCTTATTAAATACTGCCACCCGTGCTTAATATTAAGGCTATAAACTTTGCGAAGGACGAAGTTTTGGTGAGCCCAATCTCAAATCCACAGGTCCTAAAGCCCACTAGTTTTAAAGTCACCGTCACCTTTCTGGTTTATGTTTCAAAAGAAAGACTTCTCAACAACAATATAAATAAATTAATGCGAACCAAAAATATATATTAATTAATCGATTAATTTAAAAAAATAGAAAAACATATACAGTTTGCCTATTTAAATGATGCCTTGGTAAAATCTTAATATTTAAATGACGAAAAATCTTGGTACTCTGCGTTCATACTTATGCTCATAGACAGTCTTTTCATAAATAATTTATTGGATGACTTATCAAACCCGGAAAATTTGTATAGTCAATAATAATAAACAAAGTTGATCAAACAAATAAATGATAAAAGAAATTAAATCAGTAATATGTCTCGGTCTGTTAAAAAAGAAGGTCTCTATCAGTTAGAATATTACTTCCTTATATCTTTATTATATGGACATCTTGCATATTTAATAATGTAATAATATATTTTATTTTAAGTGTCAATTTTTTTCACTCCTAACTATAAAACTTCATAACTAATTAAACTCTTTAAACTAATCACTTTTATTGACAATAATTTTGAGATTTTACAAGAAATATTGTGTTTTTCCCCTTGTAACGCCCAAGTTTGAAAATATGCTTAAAAATGTATAAATAATGTATATATAAGAGACTTGACCATTTCTACTTGTGGGTTTTCAATTAAATCATTATGCTTTGTTTATATGGTAGCTTTCATGGATGTCTAAATAATAAGCCTTAAAGAAAAAGAGAAATTAATATTTATATTATCAAAAAATCATATACTTTTATAAGAAAGTGACCCACAAAAATACAAAAAATTGTGTATGAAGTTTGTTTTTCTTTGGATAGGTACTTTTTTTCCCTTCATCTCTATCTTATTACTTATAAAGTAAATTTACAACTAGAAGATTTGAATTTCTGAAACACCAATAATACCAGGAAATTTTGAATCTTAAAGATAACAATATTTTTAATCCAAATAATTCCAAATAGTTTTATTTTCACCATTTATTTGATTTTGTTAATTTTATTTTTGGTATAAGGAACAATCACTTGCACCCATTTTTGCAGCGAAGAAATAAAAAGTCAGACATAGCCAATAACATTGTGGTGTAATAACATAAAAACCTGAAAAAATGACAAAAAAATGCCTATTAAATTTTCAAAAAATAAATGGGTCATGCTAATCATTACTCTCGTAATGATTTTGACTAATCTTCTAATAATTTTGATAAGTCAAAATCTGTCAAAATCACCTATTTATTAATTTAAAATTCAACAAGTATTTTTTTATTATTTTTCCTAAAAAAATTTTACAAATAAAAAAGTTATGGGTTCAAAGTTCAATCCTGTATATAATCTAAAACTGTTAGTACTTATTGCTTTAACTTAAAAAAGTTACATACATCACACGTCCATATAAGGGTGTGTTTGGATGAAACCAAATCATGGTTTGAAGAATAGCTTCTGGAGAATAGATTCTGGGAAGAATAGATTCTGTGAAGAATAGATTTTGTAAAAAAGTGATTCTGAGAAGTAAGAGTGTTTGGATAGTTGTTATCAGAAGTACTTTTTATATATACAAATTACTAAAAAAACATAAATTAATATTATAATTATATAAAAGATAAATTTTATGATATATTTTAACTTGAAGGAATAAAATTGTTAATAATATATTTTTTACCAACATCATTAATAATACATAATATAATGTAATTAATAATTAATTAATATGTGTATATATGTTTATAAGATATAAGGTTAAATATGTTTATAAAAATAATTAAGAAATGTTAAAGTCATATTATTGTTGAGATCTATTTTGACAGGCACAATCATCTCTCCAATTTGAGCCAGAAGCAGAATGAATTCATTTCTCCTGAAACCATGGTTTCAGATTATTGATCCAAAATTGATGGTGTTTAGGTGACATCTCACCAAAATCATGGTTTTGCCTCCCAAACCATCATTTTGAGGGTCACCCAAACAGGTCCTAAGTGTAGAACCTAAAGCCGCTCTCCTTTTAAATAGAGAAAGAGGCATGATTACACAAAGTTGAATGAGGCTATAATTTGAATTAAAAAAAAAAACAATAACAAAGCAAGCATTGGAACTCAGCAACTATTGTTTTGAAACAAGACCAAAGGGTAACATCAACAATTAAATTAAAAACAGTGAGTTTAATTTCTTACTCAAAATTAATTCCACTCAAGATCAAGGCGAGATGAACGGTATTTGAGCGCCAATTGAATGCTAAAATCAATATTGACCTGCTTTCCACCTTTTTTACAAAATCAACGTTCTAGATATATCTATAATTGGGTGAATTAATATGCTACGATTCTTGAGACTTTTTGCCCTAAAATTTCTCTTTTTCAAAAGTGGAATTAAATGCAAGATTATGATCACAATCACGATCAAGGACATAGAAAAAAACGCTGTCAAACTTATCCCTGGAAAATACAAGTAATTAGTTTGGATTCCTTTAATGGAATTAAACATTGGTCCTCAGTTGCGTCGCGTTAATCATTTTTTTCAATGAAAAGATGGTACTTTCTTGTACACTGTAAATGATGACAACACTCTGAAATGTGACATTCAACTAACGAACCTCAACAATTGTATAGAATTAGAAGAAAGTAATTTAATTACTTTGTCATCTTGTTTGATCAACACGAGGTAATGAGGTAATTGTGGTGGAAAGTTGGATTTGTATATGAAAGTGATGATTCATATGTATAATAGAGGAATCCTAAAATTTAAAATAATGAGGTAGATTCATTATTTTAAATTTAAAAGTTATGGTGGTTATGTGCATATGAATGAAAATTAAGGGAGTAATATGTGTATATAAATATATTACGTCTTTGAATGAAAAAAGTTGTGACTAATAATAATCTTATACTCTTCCAACCCTTAATATATGATTTAAGTATTGACTTAATTTTGATCCTAAATATAAGACATATTTCTAATATTTATCAGTTTTTTTCTAAATTACTTATATTAATACTCCCTCAACCATAATTAAGTAGGAGAGGGAGGGAGGAAAATAAAAAAGACGATTATGGTTTTTTATGAAAAACATGTCATATTTTTTACCATTAACTAACTTACCAAACTTTCATAATCTAATTAAATTAGTTGAATATGTCTTATATTAAAGACCGGAGAAGTACTATGTATGATTTTTTTTTAAAATTTTATGTAGGTGAATTTTTTTGTTCTAACTATACATAAAATATTTACCTAAATTTATAGGGAAATAAGATTAAAAAAAACCCTATTTATTGTTGTAGTTGAGTCTCTAGAAAAATGAATCACATTGTTAACAACTTTGAGAAGTACAACTTGTTCTGGATTTAATATTTTTATGTTGACGCAAAATTGATGTTGAAATTCAAAATTAAATGGTTTACCCTGGAAAAAACTGAAATTACTTATAAAGGATCATCAAACTATTTGAGGCTGTTTATAATCTCAATTTGTGTGACAGCCTACCAATCAATCAAATCTATGATTATAGTGTATTACATGGATATTTCATATGATTATAGTGTATTACACGGAAATTTCATATATATCCTTCATCATTTCATGTCTTGAATAAGAAACTCTTGGATTGATTTTTCTTTGAAACCTGAAAGCCATGTTTATCATCAAAGCATGATCACAGAAACAGAAAGTTTATAGCAGAATTGGCCAAGGAAACCGCTAATCCATCCAATCTTCTTGCTGTGGTAAAAGAATGACACTTAGTTGCTGAACACATCATACAAGTGTGTGAATTGAATCTTAATCTTATTATATCTTCAGCCGATTTTACAATCCACAGGAACAAGCAAAAACTTTCTTAAAAAGAAACTTGTTAAATTTCAATTGTTTTCTGATTCAGAGCAGTGTATCTCCATCTCTCCTTCTCCACAAAGTCTGCATCAAGGAACCGAGCAAGAAAAGCCCAGAGTTTGTAGATATCTTCGAAATTTGCCAGAAATCCTATTGCAGCAGTAACCACAGTAATCCCAAGCTTTGTCTCTCCATCTTTCTTCTTCTCCACCTTCACTGCTTTGCCTCCACCTTCTTTGGTCTGTAAAATCCTTCCCTTCTCTTCCACATACTTATCTGCAAAACATAAATGGTGGAGGAATCCATAGCTAAGAGAAATGTTGTTCCTGTCAGCTAGTTTCTGTACAAGAACAGGTTCCACCTTTGATCCTTTCCAGTCAAACACATTGAAAGCCAAAGCAGGCCCTCTGTCAAATCTTATCTTTGGACCATAAATCTTTACCAGAGGAACGCCTTCTGTGTTTGGATGCTTCAGTTTCAGCATTGAGTTTACAAGCCAATTTACAAGGTACCTTCCTCTGTTATTGATTACTGTTAACCCTAAAGAGTCCACTTGATCTAAACACCTGCATTCAATATCAAAGCTTCCATTTTTACCATCTGGGGCTTTCCTTCTTTCTGCATTCTCAACTGGGTTGCTTTTTTCTTGAGCCGATTCGGTGATCTGAAGCTTAGACAGTACTCCTTGTTCAACTTTTGTGGATTCTATACGACCAGAGAAAGAGGTCAGGGACTCTAATTCTTGTTGTAAGATAGAGGTTGCTTTTTGTTCTACTTGAGTACCAGAAGAATCCTCTGGCAGCTGCGGTAGCCTCCTTTCTGGTATAAGATTGACAATTCCTCCACAAGAAGAGGCTTCGAAACGGAAATGGCAGATTTTTTCACAAAAAGGCATCCAAATCCAGATGGGTTCTCGCCAAATACCTTGTAGAAGGAACAAATGAGGAAGTCTGGGCGAAAAACAGAGAGGCCAAAACTATCCATGTCTTTTGGACTCAAAGCACAAGCATCGATCAACACATGCCACCCATTCTCTTGTGCTACACTCATCCACAGATAAGGATATCTCGCTCCTGTTACTCTAGAATGAAGAGGAAACACAAAAAGTCCTCTTTTTTTCTTGCCTTTTCTCTTACCTTCAATCATCTTCCTCAGTTTGGTCGACTGAATCCTAAGACGTGGCCACGAAAACTCTGCTGACATAGCCCTGCCCCCTCTTCTCTCTGAACAGCTAATCATTGTCTCCACAGCTTCACTCTCGTAGTCATAAACCGTGAGAAGCTTCCGATTAGATTGGAAAGGGTAGGACTCAGCCACTAGTTTAAAAGCTGATGTTCTGTTCGCTGTGAACACCATGAAGTAATCATTATCAGAGATATTCAAAAACCCCATGATTTTCTTCTTCATGGCAGTCTCAAATTCTGACTCTTGCCCTCCATGAAGCAACAGAGTCTTCAGATTCCCAGTCTTGTACGATATGCTAAAGGAGGGAGCTTCTGAATATTGAGGTACCTGAGGGATTGAAGTTGAGGCAAGCTGGGTTTTCGCAGTTTCGTAGCGTTGCAATTGGTAATAAGAGAAGAGACCAATTCCAATATAGTCAAGGCATGTATGGTTGGAAACAGAAAGATGGTAGTATTCTTTACCTCTGACGCGATCCACCTGTTCAGTCTCAGAATACTGAGGATAGACTCTGACAAACTCAGTGAACGATTCCTCAAGTGATGGCAGAGATTCAGGGTTAGTAAATTGGGTGTTCGGAAAAATTGAGGAAGCTGTCGTTGCTGCAAAATTGTGTCGACACTCCGAAGTGCTGCTCCTGGGTTTGCTCACTGTGATCTGAGACTGAGATATGGGTAAACTGAAAAAAGTCGTTGGACAGCAACCTTGAGAATATACTAGAGACGCCTCGTTTTTTTGTCCAAGTGTCGGCATCCTTGTTTCTTCTTCTCTTCCCTAAAACCTCACCCCCAGATCTGGATTATACATGATATATTGTTGGATCTCTCATTTCTTGGCCCTCTTTCTGATTAGAGCCACAGGAAGTTACAGAAATGAAGTTTGGTTATGGGGTACATAAATGTGTCTGGTTTTGAGTGGCTGTGTTTGAAGCATGAACACATTGATAAGGTCGGGGAGCTAAATTATGACCTTTTCTTGCAGCATTTGCCAAGTTGACCATTTAATATCATGTCCCCACTGACCAGTGTGATGTTACATTTGGCTGCAAATCTGCTTCTTTCTGTTTGTTCCTTTTATTATCGGCCATTAAACTAACACTATACTCTGCTCTTAATTATAAAAACCAGTTGAGTAATTTGAAGAGATTAAAAATGTAAGTTGAGTTAGTTATTTGTCCTAAATATGTATTATCTTTTTTAAAATATCCTTACTAATCAAATATATTGACTAGAACTATCATTATTAGAAGAGTTACTTTGAAAAAAAATGTATAAATATGAGAAACAAAATGGATTGGGTTCTTATATTTAGGACCAAAATAAAAATCAAACATGATTTTATATCAAGGACCTGAGGTAGTATTGTATATTATTTGCACAATTTATGTTATCCCTAGTGAAAGAAACCATTGGAAGAAGTAACGAGGGTTGCAGAAAGATATTTTAAATTCTCCTGCGAAAGTCGAGTTGTCTTGGACTACTGGTTTTGATGATTGTTCTGTTTAAAAAATAATACTATGTCCGTTCTTAATATAAAATCTTGTTTAATTTTTATTTTGGTTCTAAATATAAGACTCCAAATTATTTTGTCTCTCATATTTATACATTTTTTTTGAAAATACCCTTCTAATAATAATAGTTTAGTCGATACACTTGATTAGTAAGGATATTTTAGGAAAAATAACACTATTTAGGACAAATAATTAACTCAACTTATTTTTTTAATATCATCAAATTAGTTAATTGACTCTTATAATTAAGATCGGAGGAAGTATTTGTAGGAAAGAAAAGGAAATGGAGGAAGCTATCATAGCAAAAGAAGGATAAACAGAGTGACACTTTTTTTAGGGAGCAATATCGATGAGGTCAAAAAGAAAGACTCTTTAGATTGCTTCTCAATCGTACAAAACTTGCTTGCTTAGATCTTAAGTCTCAAAACTTCTTGAGATATATATCACAAAAGTTTGAGAATTATTCATTTTGTGGATTATTTTTAATAAGTTTGAATGATGAGCTAAAATTATGTGAGATGGGGTTAGGTTTGGCGGATAGTGGGCTCATGGATCCATGCTTGAGAGAGAGAAAAACAAAAGCCTGAGGCCGTATTAAAAAAAGAACAAAGTGAATTTGACTGTGTTTAAAGAGAATGCCATTGAGACTTTAAAAGAAGAAAAGAGATCGTGCCATTAGTGAAAAGGAAAAGGCAAAGCTGCTGAGTGCTAAGTGTCCAAAGAAGAAGGCAGGGTGTGGGGAACAAAGGAAACAGGGCATGCACAATTAGCTGCGTAATCATGGAATTGGAATTTCTTCTTTTCGTTGTAGCAAATTTCTAGGCCAAAAGTTGATGAGATGGGTTTGCTTTTGTTAGACTGCACGTTTTAAGACAAATGATGATTAGTTCATAAGCTGACTAGACTTTCAATAACATTGCTAGAGAAAGTTAAGATTAATCCATGCCATCCTTGAGTTTCAAATCCAATGTTCATGTGAATTTTTTTTTGGGATATGTTTTTAATTACTGACTGTAAATAATATAGATTGATTATTATTAAAAAAATTAATAGAATTAATTTAAAAAAATAATAAACATGTTGTAATCGGCGTTAACTTTTCAATTAGATCTTATATTAATAATTGAGTATAATATATGTTTTTTGTAACGTAAAACTTGCTTTGTTCCCATTAAAATAGTTTTACTTTACTCATTTGTAGATTAAACTGATGACCTCTTAATTAAATTTAAATTTGAAACTAAATTATTATTCTCTTTGTTTTTTTATATGAGATGAGACCTGTACGTACAAATACATTAAATAGTAATTTTTAAGGCTATCTGAATCTAATATTACTAAATTAGCTAGTTTAAGAATTGTCAACTCTAATTAGAAATAATAATTCTTCTAGAGACTTTTTTGGTATTTACACGAGCTCAAATTAACACTTCGTATTTAAGTCATCATAATCCTTTTTAATTAGGACAATTAAAGATTACTTAAATCCTCACGCTTTGACATGACTCAAAATAAGACATTTGGAATAATTATTTATGTGTGAGAGTAATACACACACGCTTGCATATATATATATATATATATATATATATATGTATTCGTGTGGAACGCGTAACACACGATTCTCGCATCCTATGGCCGATATGAAATTCTTTTTGGAAGGCTGTGGTAATAATTTATAATTAAATTAATATATCAAAATATAATTATGAGAGTTTGAATCTTAAATTAATTTCCACCAACATCCGGACACTTATTCTCCTCTTAGCACTTGGAATTAGCCATTAAAATGTTTATAATTAACCACATGTATTTTGTTGCCTGAGCTATTTTGAAATAAATAAGTGTTTAGCGGAGGAAAACTTATTTTAAGGTGTTATGCTAATTAGTAAAACAGGTTTTATTCTATTACGTTTGATCCGAATTCGAAACCTCATTATCTATTTTTGTTATAAAAAAAAGGCAGATTGTATGCAGTAAATTTTGAGATGGAAAGGAAAAGTATAGAAAAGTAATTACAAAATGTTAAACTCGCACACGTACAATTTAATTCTCTTCACAGGTCCGATCTTAGATATAAGAACTAACTTTTGAGTTAATTTTTTATTCTAATATTAAATCTCAATTTTTTTCCTCACATATATCATTGACACTACTACTGCTTTGTAGTGACAATTTTTGTGAACATTTTTTTTGGGGGCCTAATTCGGGGTATCCCAAATCATTTTGAATTTGAAATTATTATTTTATGTCACCCAAAAGTGAAGGTTGATCGAGGCATATGTATTGAATTAAAACTGTTTGGTTGACTATTGCTTAACCCAATGGCCCATTTTAATTATCTAATCACCTGCTTAAATAAAGTGAAGCTTAAATTTGTAATAAAAATGGAAAAAAATTATTGAGGAAATTTTTGTTGCTAATCAGTTATTAGCGATTAGTGATAATTCTTTACGACGAAATTTCGCTAATTCACTATTTTGTTTAGTTCAAATAGTATTGAAGTAACAATCAAACAAATATGGTAAAGGGAAAATTCATCTTCTACTGTTTAATTAAACTCAAATTTTCACCGATGATTCATTTGTTTAGTGGTAATTATGCATTATAGTTAATTATAATTTTAATACATAAATTCCAAAATTAACATTAGATCCCCAAACTACTAATAGAAGTAAGAATGTAACATATTAATGAAAAATAAACATCAATATTGGAATTGAAGCTTTTAGAGAAATACATACAAAACATGGCGGAGGAAAATTTTACAAAGAAGTGGATACATATGTAAGTTTTCACTGTATAAATGTGTCAAAGGAATATCAACTCGTAGATTCTTACCTTTAATATAATACTAAAATCATATCTATAGGTTGAAAACATTGCAATATATTTCTGATCTATCAATTCTATTTTAATGCAGTCTATACTCTATATATATATATATATAATGTCCATATTATAAAAATTTTAAAAAAAGTTAAGTATCGTTTTCTTCTCTTTGTTTTAGTGCCCCATTTCATAATCATCTTTAACCAGTCCATCAAACATTTTCCAATTTTACAAGATTTTCTGTCTTTGTTAAAAGTCATTATCAATGCAGTACCCTTGCATTAAATTTCTTCTTTTCTTTTTTTTTTTTGTATTTTTCCTTTGTTTCATTTTCAACTCCTTAGCCTTTTTCCCTTTGGCTGCATGCGGTAAAAACTAAAAAAGTGACGAAACTGTTGGAAAGTGATATCAGGGCCCAGATTTTGACAATCATGAAGACGGTGTCCCGTATTTGACTATTTGAACCTCTTGCGTTTGCGCCCATTTTGAGCAGTGATGTGCATGTAACCTCCTTTGTGCGCAAGTTCATGAACAATAGTGAATTCCATGATAAAAGTACAGAGAATGGTTGTGGCAACCTGAATTTCCTCTACATACATAATTAAAGTCAAGACGGAGAGAGCGTAGTATTTTATTTTTTTCTTGACTAATATCTATTTCTTGTGCTTTTTCCTATGGCAATTAAAACACGTGGCATGTTAGTAAATAATTTTACCGACAAACATACAATAATAATAAACCTTATCTCACTATTTTAGACAAAAACACACATAGGCTCAAAAAATTAAAATATATCTTTGATGCTCAATATAAGCACTGATTGAAAGTTAACTTTAATCCTAAATATAATATCTCAGCTAATCCATTTTGTTCTCCATACTAGTCATTTTCTTTTCCAAACTATCTACATCGATTTTGCATGTCAAGAGAGTTTGTATGAAAAGATAATTTTAATGCAAATGATTTAAGAGGATATTTTAAAAAAAATAACATATATTTTTATAAACAACTAATTTAACTAATTCACTTAATCTATACAAATTAGTTAAGTATATTTTATATTAAAAAGCGGATGAGTATTAAAGCTGGAAGGAATTTTTTTTAAAAAAAGAAAAAGTGGTTTGATGGGTCTCATAATTAAAAGCTCTTTTTATTTCTCTTTTTACCTATATGCCCTCTTATGTCATCCTTGGAGAAATTCTTGCATTGGTCATCATTCACGTAGGAGGTTGAATAACTCAACATTGAAACGCACCATCCCATATCAACGCTAAAACAGTTCGTTCCCATTTTCTTTTTTACCATATGATCAAATGAAATTACACAGCAAGACGGTGCGTTTTGATCGCTGTACTGCACCTAACCTTCTACTATTCTTCCGCCTGAAAGAAGAAACGCACTGGCAAATTGAGAAAATCTTGAACCTCCACAACCATACTGCATTAGACTAAATTTACTGTAGCTTTCAGCATCCTGCGGTTAGAGACGTGATGTCCCATTTTGTGAAAGAAAGATTAACCTCAATAATTAAAGACTACTAAGAGTAAATAACACATCCCTCACTAATTAAGCTTGATCGCAATAAGAAAAAAGTGTTACCTTGCAGAAATTTATGAGATTAATTAAGCGAAAGCAGCCA